ATGTCCTTTGCCCACTTTTTGATAGGGTCGTTTGATTTTTTCTTGTTGATTTTCCCGAGTTCTAAGTAGATTCTGGTTATCAACCCTTTATCGGATTTGCCCAGACAAACCTAGATCTTACTGGAGAAACAAGATTTATACTCAACTGACTTCTATGAATGACCGCCGTATCTTATTTGACTTTTGATTCCCTATGTGTCTGGGAATGACGCAGGTGTTTTAAAACAACTCATTTATTTCATGACTAAATTAGAAGTAGATTTAAATTTGAGGGAAGCATGATATGAAGTGGAGCCAAGCTCACCCATTGCCTGTGGACCCTATTTCAGAAAGAGAATTAAGGTGAGGCCCAGGGCAATGAGTCCTGAAATCCACAAGTGAATCTCTTAATCTTTACTCCATAGATGGACTTTGGAGCTCTAACAAAAGCACCAACAGTATCATGTGTGTGAGTATACATGTGTGTGTCTATGTTTGTGTAGATATATACACACATGTGTATACACATATGTATACTCACATACAATATTGTATACATATATGTACATTTGTGTACATATGTAAATATATATTTAGTCTGAGGAGAGATGCAACCTCTCCCAATTAGGTTATCCTAATATATTTTACCTATAAATTTTTCTCCTAGGAATTCATCATGCTGTTATATGCACATATACTATTACGAAAGAAGTATGCAGATGACATTTATTACATGATTGCTTGTTATAGCAGATAAGTAGAAACAACCTAAATGCCCATAAAAATAATAATGGTAAAACAAAAGTGTGGTACAACTGTACAATGGTATCTCATAGGGATACTTACAAGAGGTAGACCTGCTTTCATGAACTAGCATGAAAATACTTCCAGCCTGTATTCTTAAGTGAGTGAAAAAATACAAACCAAAGTGAACGCTATGTACCATTTGTGTCTTTTTAAGAAAGGGTATGAATTTGTGTGTGTGTGCTTAGCCGCTTGCATATGCAAAGAAAAACGGAAAAGATTCACTAGGAGACTGGTAACAGTGACAGCTCTTGTGGAGGGAGATGAGAAAAGGTGGAGGGAAGACATTTTTCACTACATATCTTTTTTTTTTTTTTTTGAAACAGAGTCTCACTGTGTCACCCAGGCTAGAGTGCTGTGGCGTCATCCTAGCTCACAGCAACCTCAAACTCCTGGGCTCAAGCGATCCTACAGCCTCAGCCTCCCGAGTAGCTGGGACTACAGGCACGCGCCACCATGCCCGGCTAATTTTTTCTATATATTTTTAGTTGTCTGATTAATTTCTTTCTATTTTTAATAGAGACAGGGTCTCGCTCTTGCTCAGACTGGTTTCGAACTCCTGAGCTCAAACAATCCTCCCGCCTCGGCCTCCCAGAGAGCTAGGATTACAGGCGTGAGCCACCGCGCCCAGCCTACGTATCTTTTTTAGTAGTTTGAGATTTTTCCTGTAAGTGATTATAAAATGTATATTAATTATTTTTTAAATAACATGACTTAAAGCTTATGGACCTCCAAGTGCCTCTATGCTGGAGATTTAAAAGCACTGGATCTTCCCAATGCATCAATTCTATGAGATTTGATGGGCGATGAGATATAAAGTGTGTTCTCACTGAGGAAAGACTTTTTTTTTTTTCATTTTATGCCAATGTAAAAACTCAGAACAGGGGATTTCATCATTAGTGTTTCAAAGAGATTAGAATCAGAATCAAAGCTTTAGTGAAAAATTTATGAGTGTAGAAAAATACCATTACTATATTGAACCTCATTCTAAAATCTGATGGAGGCTTGAAAGTGTCCTGTAAGCAAAAACTATAATAGGTAGTCATAACATAATTGAAAGTAATTGTGATTTTATTCAAAACAAGTGTTGTTTACAATGGATTTGGAATGTTTTTCATCCCACAGAAGCTTTTAGAATAAGATACTGATATGTGTATTTGGGACCTGCAGTTAATTACATTCACGTCATGTAATGAATCTCTGTGTGTTTCTTTCAGAAAGAAATGCAATTCCTATGGGACGCTGAGGCATTGCCTTTGTCGGTCCAATTCTAAGATTACTTAGCTGCATGCTCACAGGAAACAGAGCCAAAAAAAATAGATTGCCAGACACAGCTCAAGTTTCTATCATATGTAGAAAACTCATACATGCACTCAAGCTATATCTTACATAAAGTAAAAGTCAAAACATAAATTATAATATTTGGTTAGTCTATTTTTCTTAACTCTAAAGTTATCAAATCCAATCAAAAGATATCAAATCCAAAATAATCTGTACTTGTTCACATGTGGTCATAATTTTGCAGTAATTTGGTGAATTGATTAATCTGTTTGTCATGTGGTTTTTGTTCGCCCAACATCTTTCTGGAAGCAAAGCTACTAAAAATGACCATAGTAGTTGTCTTTGCATGCAGGATTGTCTCTCTTAATTATAATTATCTATGTTCTTTTTTGTTGTTCTCAAAATATTTTGCAATATTTTTGTATTACATGTATGTGACTACAAATAGCTTAAAATAAGCTCAAAATAGACTTCCAATTGATTCAATTTTATGAAATAATGATTACCAATGTTTGTTTGGCATTGTGAACAAATTTGACTATCTATCTTATATTTTACCTTTTCACCTGTTTTTTTCTCTTTTGACATTTAATAGCTGCCACCAATGGGTATTTCCACATATGCTTATGACTTATGCAAGCATCAGAGTTCAGACAAAAACAAAACATTTAGCAAAATAAGTGTTCTAGTGCCGTGTGGTTACAACCTAATGTTTTTGAGAGTTAATTTCCAAAAATTAAATAGTAAGGCAAATTGTTTATATCTGTAAAAGTCCATGAAAAGTGGTACCATGTAATATAATTTAAAGTTTGTTTTTTCACAGACATGAATTGTAGTAAGAAACCCATATTCCTATGATGTTCCAAGACAGAACCTTGTCAATTCTTGATTGTATCTGGAAATTTACAGAGTATGTTAGAACACTGCTAACTTCTGCAGTCATGTGTACAGTTGACACACTGTGGTCAGTAGGGTTGTCAGATACTATGTTGCCCTATCTCCCCAAATGCTGCAGACTTTTGTATGCTAAGCTTGTTATGTTATCTCTATTTTAAACAGATGGCCGAGTAAAAATTTGGGTTTATGGCGTTTCAGGTGGCGGTTTTCTAATCATGATTTTCCTAGTATTTACTTCCTACCTAGTTTGGTAAGTAGTAATTGGTAAAAAATTTATATTCCATATTTTTATGGGTAGCATTATATACTAAAAAAAGACGTATGTCAGGATCATTGGACATTATAATAGGACTCTGAAAGCCACAAATAATCTCCAACTGTAGAACGGCTGAATAGTTGAAATAGGGGATCATTATCTATATTGTTCCTATTTGAAATAACACTTTATAAATCTGGTTTTTGAGTAATATCAGAAGGTATAAAAGAAAAATCATTAGTCAGGATTTTTCCATGTTAGTATTTTGATTTGCATCAATAGTTTTGAGTCTTGACTACACATTGACATCACCTATGGATGGATGCATGAGCCCCACTCCCTGGAGATTCTGATTTAATTAGTCTTGGGTGTACCCAGGTCACCTGGATGTTTAAAAGCTCCCTAGGTAATTCTAATCTTTAGCCAAGGCTGAGAACAGTACTTTAGATAATTCTAGTTCACAAATTCTGTTCTTAAATTTTGACTGCTTAGGTTAAACTGACCAGTTGGTTCAATCAACCTGTTAGTGCATTTTAAATAGTAGAGCCAGGTGTTTATCTACATTAACCAGCTATGAAAGAAATTTAACTGACTGTCAATTCTAAGAACCCTAATTTTGTAAGTGACTAGTCTCTGAAAATTTATTATTCTCATAAAACAGTAGTTTATTTTCCAGAATATACGTGAGTTGGTGAGAAGCTCTTGAAAGCAGACAGAAGTAAATACAATTGACCCTTGAACAATGCCGGGGTTGGGACACCAGCCTCCTGTGCAGTCGAAAATCCATGTATAACTTTTGACTCCTTAAAAACTTAACTACTAATAGCCTACTGTGGACAAGAAGCCTTACTAATATCATAAATAGTCAACGTATTTGTATATTATATATATATATATTATCTGCTGTATTCTTACAATAAAGTAAGCAAGAGAAAAAATGTTACTGAGAAAATAATAAGGAACAGAAAATATATTTACTATTCATTAAGTGGAAGTGGATCATCATAAAGGTCTTTCTCCTCCTTATCTTCACATTGAATAGTCTGAGGATGAGGAGGAAGAGGAGGGGTTGGTTTTGCTGTCTTATGAGTGGCAGAGGAAGAAGAAAATCTGAATATAAGTGGACCCAGACTTCAAACCCATGTTGTTCAAGAGTCAAATGTACATTTCAAAGTTTTCAAGTGTGCTAAGAATATTTTATTAGCTTTCTAAGCAGAAGTCTCAAAGTTTTTTTTTATTTTCATAAGATTAAAGTGTTACTTCACTTTTTTTCTCCAAATCAAGATATTTATATTCATCCTCTGTCTCATAGACTATTTCTCTGAGAATTTTTACACAAGGTTTAATCTTGATTTAAATCTGGCCTTTGTATATTTAGAAAATTGGAAAATTCTGTTTCCAAGGCTACACATGTTTTTAAGTCTTTGCTCTTGGTCAGTGAAAGTCAGTAAAGAAAATAAAATGACTTTAATTCTTTCTGCCACCTATAGTGATAGAAATGGAATCCATAGAAATTGGATTTCTATCCCACTAACATTTCCACAGTGTTGTAGTGAAAAGTAACATCTTCAGTTAGTCATTCACCCTATGGTCAAATGATTTGACTAATTTTATGTCCGAATTAATAAGTTTGGCAAGCGTTGCCTAGATCCAGGCTTAATGAGCACACGTGAAGTTAAAAGCTCTGTATGAGGTTCAGAGCGACAGGAAACATTCACTACCAGAAAAGCTTTGAAAGAGGGGAAAAGGTCCTTATATCACAACAGAAGACATGAAGCTTCAGCAGATAGGAAACTGCTCTCAAAGCAATTGTTGGGCCAACACAGTGTAAGGTAATCAGATAGTCTATTGGTCTGTAAAAGCTTGGATGAATTATAGCTGTCAATAGTCACATCCCCAAATCTAGATTCTATGGTTCCCTCTTCCCTAAAATAGCTAAAAGACTAAAAATTAACATGTAGTGACACGTAAATTTTACCTTTTTACTTTTCTCCGTTCCCTCTAACCTGCAAATGTGTTATCCGGAATCCATTTCCTCAACAAATATTTATTAAGGTCCTTTTCCGTATGACTCTAGGTTCTGGGGATTAATTAGGTGCGTCACTTCATTCTGGTAACAAACGATTTTCTAGAGAATTTTTAAATTATAAATCAATGGAATTTCCCCTATTTTTCGTGGTTAAATTACATAAATATTTATGCACATTACTTCTCATAACTATTCTTTTCATCATCAATGCCTGTCCTCAATAATCCTTCTTTGGGTGTAGCACAATAGCTCTGTACGTGAACTTGTTACACATGCTCCCCTCTGCAGTCTACAACTAGATTAATCTTTCTTAAAACTTAGCTCCAGATGATCAGCCCTTCTCCTGCTCATGCACAAGCAGTGGCTTCCCACTGGCAAGAAAACTAAAGTCTGTTCCGATTGTCTAGCCAGTCAAGTAAAGTCTTCCACAACTGAAGCCCAAACAACTCTTCAACTTCGTCTTCTACTCAGTCCCTACACCCTACACCCTGGCCTGTCTGGCAAGTTGTATAGGCCCAAATATATCTGTCTTCATTTGCTCATTGAGGAAAACAAAAAAAAAAAGAAGAAAAAAAAAGAACAGTTTTGACTAAGATAAATTAGTAAATTTTATACTCTAATATTTAATCAATGTGCTTAATTATATGGTCCCATCATTAATCCTATTTTATATATTAATACAAGATTTCATTATAAAATACTCACTTTCTCTAATTTCATATTCACAACACAGTTTTATTTAACATCCGAATCTATCTTTCAGGTCAGTCACTTTGTCACTGCTTCAGTCTTCCTTTCCATGATCAAATCCAGTTTCCAGTTTGCCATATTCATTCCCACTCAAGTCCTTTGAGATACATCACTTCTTTAAATCTGTCTGTGCTCTTGTTTCAGAGGTTTCATCCTAACACCCCAGTGCCTATTCACATACCTTAGGAAAGATGGCCATTTTATTTGTCCTCTGTCTATATTTATGATCTGCATTTTTTTAAAAAAAAATTTTTGTGCAACAAAGGTATCCGCTCATAAGATAAAAGATTTTACAGGGGGTTGAATATAAGGCCTTTTTCTGAGGGATAATTTTTTAGGAAGAATAACCTTATCTTATGGCACTTAGGATGCTACTCATTCAATTTCTCAAGGAGGCTTCTGCTTTTGTGGTTATAGCCCATTCATCTAGAATGAACTTTTCATTGCTAGCTATTGGTACTGTACCAGTTCCTCCAAGTCAAACTCAAATCCCAACATTTTCCTTGCCAAACAGTCTGGAATAACTTGTTGATGTCACCTTTCCTGTGGCATTTACTCCATGCCGGTGTTGTAGTTATTTGTAAATATCCTTCTCCTCTACCAAACCCCAAGGACTTCGAGTGGGGAGAGATAATTACTATGCTTTATTGAATTTTTAGAACATAAATTTGATAAATATTTATTGAACAAATGAGTAAGTGGACGAAAAAATGAGTAGATTAGTAAAAACTGATTTATTGCCCATGATTTTTAGAAAAACAGTCTAGGAAAAAAAATCTAATATTTATATGTCAAACATAAAGTATTTTATATACATTGCCTTTTTCAACCATCATAATAATCTAATGAGGTGTTACTATTACCATTTCCATTTTTAAAGAGTGAGTAATTGATCCTCAGAGAAATTAAATAATTTTTCTGTTAGAATCAACCCGAGGCTTGCCCAGAGCACATGCTCTTTCTACTGGTCTTTGAGTTTCCGTAGTTTCTTTCTCTTTATTAATAGTGTCCTAAAAATTCTTTAGACTCAGTGGAACATCTACCACTTTTGCATTTTTTAGAGGCTTCTTATTTCACAAGTAAAGTAAACTATAGACCTGGGAACAGACCTATTGATATCAAAACACATACCAATTGCTGTTACATATGAGCTGCCTAAAGAAATCCAAATAGATATTTTCACAGCATCTAATTCTATTAAATAGCTTGCAGGAGAGTTAGAGGATAACCGTTTTGGAGATTTTTATACTTCCCCTTAAAATAAAAAGCTTAGGACAAGAGAACTGCTATAATATGTCAGGTCTTGGGTGTATACTTCAGAGGAAAGTAATTTATACTAAAACTTAGAAATGCTTTTTAGAAAATATCAAAAAATCGTCCTTCTAAAGATGACTTCTTTCAGATGCAATCCTTTGAACATTAGAGTTTGGAGTTTTGGAAGTATTACTGACACCCTAGCTCCCCTGGCAATAAATATCCATGGGGCAGTGTAGTGGGGATAACCACTAGGTGAGCTTGTAGGTCACCTGGACGTAGCACCTGGAAGTTACTCCAAATAACGATGCTGGTTCTGCCTTACCCATCACAATTTGGTAATGGATTCTCATTCTTCCCAGATTTGAGAGTGGTACTTCCACTTCCAGAGGCTTGCCTCTGGAAGGTAGCTGCCAAAACAAAAGACTGTCCATTGCTTTCATCAAACTATTTAATCTCTACTAGCCTGGGAATGAATCCTTGTGGCTTGAATTCAAGAGTGCTGAGAAGTGCCAGCAGTTTCCCTGTCTGCCCACAATAAGCTCACTTTTCTGGCTTAATACGTTTTTCTCCTTTGCTAAAATGCAAATGACCCTAAAAGAGGTCACTTTGGAATGCATCAGTCAAGGATCTCTTACAGCCAGGGTTGCAAAATGGTTTTATCCTTTGTGCCAACTTTAACAGCAGTGGTGGCTGTCAGGAGCGCTCCATTAGGAAGAGTGATGAGACTACACCTTGGCTCAACAGGAGTGAATTGTGTGATGGATTAGAGGTGTCCACGTGGGCACGGGATGACTGGTGGTGGTGGTGGCCTATGTGCCAGACATTTATGGGTCCTGATTTAGTGAGTGAGGGAGGTGCTCGTACCTTTCCTGATACCAGAGTTGAGGGGGAATTAAAATGAGAAAGAAACATATTTCTAAGGAAAGAATGGATACCGATGAGGGAGAAAGGAAAGGAAGCTGGCCTTGCCCGGGACAGTCCTGCCCCTCAGCTTCACCTCCTGGGGCTCTTTTTAACTGGCTGGGGAACTCTGTAAAGCCACAGCTACCCGGCAAAGTGCCACCATATTCAGTGACATTTGCGAGGCTGTTAATCTCTTCCAAATCATAACACTTATCAGATCTCACACATTCGTACTTGTGATTTTAGTATCTGTCAATTGAGAGGTTGCACAATATGAAGAGAGGCATATTAGATAAGGTCCTAATCCCAATGACCCCCAACACACCCCGTGGCCCAAAAAGGCCCACGGCCTAGCCATGAGGAGCCCCCTTTCCTTTCCAGTGATGAAAAGAAAATTCCATGCGTGGAAATTGATATAAACTTATCCGAGTATATTTTGAATAGAATTTTCCAAGCCCAGCTCACAGAAGCTGGCCACGTTTACTTGTCTCCCGGGTGATTGTATTGTCTCTTTATAAAGATCCAGCCATCTCTAGCCTCTCCCCTGACTCCCAGTTCTCAACTCCCCAATCCCCAGGACTGTCTTATTTATTTATTTATTTATTTATTTATTTTTTGACCAATAGCTTTTAGCAAATGTCAATTAAAGGTAGAGGCCAAAAACTGTATTTGAAAGTTCCTATATTTCTTCCCACTCTCTCTTCTTCTCTTGTTCCCATTCCCTACCCCCTCCCCCCCCAAAAAAATCCAGGAATCTAGGAGAGGTAGGAGGGACAAGACCCCTACTGTCATTTCAGATGAACTTCCTTGTACTCTTTTTTGCCGTTAGGACAACCCCCACCATCACCACTACTACACAAGCTGTCACTTTCAGGTTGTCCCAGCCTCTTGTTTGTATGATAAGCATATTCAGGACCCCATTTCAAGCTAGAGCCTGGGCCCCTCAATATAATAGAGCCACTGGAATATACTGGAATAGGTTAACATAGATAACATTGAATTGGACGTTATTCAGATAGTTGTGCAATGCCCTTTTGAGAATTGGAAAGGACCTAGAAAGCAGGAAATCAAAGGCTGAGACTCCCTCACGCAGGATTCTAAATCGTGTTTTTTTGCCTCTGCTCAGCTTCTCTGCTGAGGTGGAAGGTGTCTGCCTGCAGCCATGCTTAGCACCCAGCAAATCCTCAGTGAGTGCCCATCTCATGCCAGGTGCCAGGGTGGGGGCTCCGAGAGGATCTCTGGTTCCTTTTAGTGGCTTTTTTAAAAATCATTTTTAATTTATCTCTTTGGCCCCCATGATTGGCTTCAAACATCAAACCAAAAAAATAAATTTTATCCTTTAAATTAGAACTTGAACATTTTAAACTAGGAAGTTTTCCCTGCAACCATTTTAATTTTATTAAAATTTTTAATGACAGTAAAATTCATATAACATAAAAGTCACCATTTTAGCCACTAATCCAAAGAAGCCAGATACAGAAGGCCACATAGGGTATGATTCCATTTACATGAGGGATCCGGAAGAGGCAAATCTACAGAGACAGAAAGTTGGTTGGTGGTTACCAGGGGCTGAGAGAAGCAGGGAATGGGAGAAACTGCTTGGTGGGTCCAGAGTTGCCTTTTGGGGTGATGAAAAGGTTCTGGAGCTAGATAGTGCTGAAGGCACACAACATTGTAACTATACCACGTGTCACTGAATTGTACACATTAAGATGTTTGTTTTGAATTTAAATTAACTCAGAATATAAAAATTTATTCATATATACAGACAAAAAAGTCATTTCTACCTATCACCCAATGAATGGCATATGTATAGGGAGAGCGTGGGAAGAGGTTAAAAGCTTGGGCTTGTGTGTCAGATTTCCTTAGAATCCAGGCTCTGCCATTCAGTGACCTGAAGGAAGTTATGTAAACAACCTCTCTAGTCCTCTGTAAACTAGCAATAATCCTAATTCCTCCCTGTAAGACTGTTCTAAGATATTTTGAGATATTTTACGTAAAATGCGCAGATCTTGGCACTTAGTATGCATCCATTCAGCCATAGATGCTGCTATAAAATAAAAGCACAGAAGTTTGGAGACAGGGAGAGAGATGGTTCCTCACTGGGGAGACAACCCCAAACTGAACAGGCCCTGAGGAGGGAAGGGCACGTGGGGTGGGGTGAGGGAAGTGCATGGCAGAAGTCAAGCCGTAAGTATTTGTACATACAAATTGAGATTCACTCACGCTAAGAAACAAGAAATGTAATGCAGGGTGTTTTGCCCCCAATCTGAGGCATCCCTGTGTGATTTGGGAATGTTATACAACTTCAGCTTGTCTCTCCATGGGGCGGAAAAGCAGCCCTCTCTCACCTGGCAAAGTTGTGGACGTCAGGTAAAGCAGAGACCGGGTGAGAATGGCTTTGCACAGAGTAGAATTGGTGAGATTTTCCTGACAAGACTCTGGCAACTTGGCAGCTAAATGTCAGGTTTCAGGCCAGAGCAGAAGCATGTTTACTTCAAAACAAGAGCAGAGTAAGGCCTGACTGCTCCAGCTGCTGACAATGTTAAACATCTGCGATGTGGAGGTCACAGTAGCTTAGAAATTAGTGGACAACAGAGGTCCATGTTGCTGTGTAAAAGGAACAAACAGAAAAATTAGCCCTTCTACCAAGTTCCTTGATTCCACTAAACTATTTCTAAAATTTTTAAAAATGATAGCTTCTCCTTAAAGAGAGTTAGAGTATACAATATTCAAAAAAAGCAACCCACACCTATAGAGAAACGAACATTTTGTCACTTTACCACTTGAATCTCTATACCTCAAAATTGTCTTTGGCAGATGAAACAGAATACTGTGAATTTCTTTATCTGAGGAATTCTTTTCCCTTTGCAGCAAGAAGCCAAAACCACATCAAAGTACACCTCCCCAACAGAAGCCTCTGACCTTAGCCTACGATGGAGACTTAGACATGTAACCTGAAAAAGAAATCCAAATGTAGACATCAACTGCCTTAACCGCTTTCTCTTTTGTAGCTCTCAGACTTCTCAGTTTTTTGAGGAATCTCATAATGTGATATATTGGGCAGAATACAATATTGCAAAAGTAATGTTGCCTCAACTTCACTTGGACACAGAGTCAAAGATTATTAGGTCTGCCATCTTGTTTTCAAGTTTTTTGTGGGTGTGAGTGCTTTATTTTTTTGGTTTTCCCAAGGGACCTGAAAACCCTTCTCTTCCTGTTTGGAACTGGGAGGAAGAAAACATGAGAGAATTCCCACAGACTTGAGTAAACTTGATCTTCAGCAGCAGAATGACAATCCAGAGGAAAGTCCAATCAAGGCATTTACTGAAAAGGACGAGTCTGACACTGCATTGTTATGCACTATATTAGTGCAAAGTTTTATTCTTCCCATACTTCAACACTGAGTTTTCTAGAGTTTACATTGGTTTAAAGACTTTCAAATTGGATTGCCTATTTTCATGAACACAGAGAGAATGGGTTATCATTTCAGAAATTCTCTGAGTTTTTACCTTTAAATATTGTATTTTGTTTTATAGCCAGGGGATAACGGCACTTCATGGATTGCATCTACTGAAAATAATAGAGTGTGTGTAACTGCTGGACTAAATGAAAGCTAGGTGGTTTCTGAATGAAATGTGTACTGAGCGTTAGGGTGTACAAATGAAATTGGTGGTTATATTGAAGAATGAGGTAGATTATTTGATTACTAAAACTGTATTTTAACAAAAACTTAGCCATGTAGATAGAGCATTAACCACACACAGTTGTAATTCAGTTTAATGATGACAAACTCTGCTTTTGTAATTTCAATTTTCTTATCTGAATATTTATAAATTCTTTTTTTGAATTTAATTATCTGACCTCATTTAATATACATCTCAAACACCAATCCTGTTTGTAGCAAGTCTTGCTTTTATAAGGTTTCAGTAATATCTGAAACTACACATTAAAAAGCTGAGACCATTTTATGAAGATAATTGTTTGTAATCGTAGATGTTGAAAGTAAAAAGGTGCCATCTTGTGGTATTGACTTGTATTTATAACAAATAAAGTGCTCAAGAGACTGCAATGTTGGCTGTTCTAGATTTATTCACTTCTGAAGTGCCCTTGCTTTGACAAAAACAGTATTAATACCAATTTTCCAATGTTACTGTTTAAGGGGTTGACAGCTGAAATCACTGACAGAGAAAATGAATCCTAGCCTTTGACCCCATCAGGTGTACTATGAAATAAGGCCAATCACAATGACATGGAGTAGCTTTTAGGGAATATTTGGAGCTTAGATAATATTAGAGCAAACCACTACAATAATACACACACTGATATGTAAATGATCTGAGAGAATTAAGAACGTGAAAACTTTAGAAATGTGAAACAATGAGCACAATAGAGGATGTTGTCATTTATGCTGTGACTTCTATTAACCATTTAACATCCAAGTAAACCCTCCAACTAACTGATTTTGTCCAATGGTACCATGATTTTAAAAGGGAAAAAGGTAACATAAGAGAATAGCTTATTTCAATAGTATGGTTGAGGAAACAACTCCCAGAGATGTGCTTTTGTTATTCACTTTAGCTAATATGTCAGTGGTCTTCTTAGTAGTTCAAGAGAGGCTGCTTTGGCGATCAAACCCTGGCTAGGCCCATTACTGCCTTTGTGACCCTGGACCAAGAATATAAATTCTCTGTGTCTCAGTTATTTGACCCACAAAATGAAGACAATAAAATTATCTTCCTCTTTAGGTAGGCATTAATAATAAATATAAAATGCTTAATATTCATAACATATCAAAAGTACAATAAATATTATTTATAATTAGTATTCTATAGCACATTCAGAGTTGGGACCCTTAGGTCATTCAAGTTTTTCATCCATTACAGATTCAACAATTATCTGTATATTAAATTTGCATTTATATATTAGACTTTCAGCATTCATGACCTTCACAAGTCACCTAAGCCACCTTTCATACTGCACAGTGTAGAAAATAGACTCAAAAACACCAACTGGTCTGCCCCATGATTGTATACAGTAGAGGTCCCGGATAATTAGCTTGCAGAAATACTTAGTTTAATATGCAATGGGTTTTTGTATTTTTGAATTAGTTACAGTCACTTAAAATTGAGAGGTTTCACATAAAATTTGAGGTTCTAGCTTCTCATGGAAACTTAGATCTGATAACAAATGCCTCAATCTTTCATGGTAATGATTTCCTGGAACTAAATGTTGGCTTCACTCTTTAGAAATGACATTCACTCTCATTAATTTAACAAATATGTATTGAGTATCTACTTAATTCATTTAATTAATTCATTGAATATCTACTATGTGCTAGATACTACTCTAGGTGCTGAGTGTATGCTGGAAATGTAAAAGGTCTTTTCATGTCTTGTCTCAACTCCACCTTCTCAGTGAAGCATTCCCCAGAGAGAATTTAATACTGTAATCCAAGAGTCCACAAATGCTCCTAGGCCAGATCAGGATAGCCACCCATTTTTGTAAAGTTTTGTAAAGTTTTATTGGAGCACAGCCACACCCATTCATTAACGCATCGTCTATGGCTGCCTTTGCAGAATTGGGTAATTGCAAAGAGACCGTATGGCCTGCAAAGTCTACAATATTATCTGGCCCTCTACAGAAAAGATTTACTGACCTCATTCTTGCTGGTATTCTCAATCCCCTTTAACCTCCCAACTTCTTCTTTTCTCCATAGCCCAATCACCTCTAATATTCTATTTACTGTAAGATTTATTTTACAGTTTGTCTATTTTCTCCTTACATTAAGATGTTAACACCAAGAGGGCAAAGATCTTAATTTTGCTCACATATGTATCCCAAATGTTAGGAATATGGTAGGTACCCAACGAATATTTATAGAATGATTGAATGAGGTTAGAGAAAAAAGCAGTATACAGTATCCAATCAAAGAAGCAGTGGTGAAGAACTTGTCCTTTATTCTAAATCTTATGGGCAGGCACAGGAGTGTTGTAAACAGTGGAGTGACATGAAGTGATCCAGACCACGGCAGTCTCATGACTTCCTACACTTCATACCCTGGATTAGTCAGGCCCATTCATCTGTGTGCCTGGATTGTGCTGCAGATCTTATTCCAGCAAATACTCCATGAGTGAGAAATGATTATGGTAATGGAATCTCAAAAGACCAGTATTCAGTTACTTCACCTCAGAAGATTGCGCTGTGGGCAGAAGCCCCAGGGAGAAACAGGTTTAGTGGCAAGATCTGCATAGTTCTTCAATAACAGCATTAAACAGCAAGCTCAGTGATTTTGAGACAGAGAAATCTCATGGAAATTTTGCAAGCTTTATGTATTATATTATAATGATTATGAGTTTCTTCTGCAAAATTGACACAGAGATATTAGTGTAATCAAAGTACAATAAAACTCAGCTCACCAACTAATATGCCAAGTGGCTTATGAGTGAGCTAAAATGTCCTCTCCACTTTGGGGTGGCCAAAGCCAGCCTGCTTCTCAGTCCATCATGGCTGCATCCATTTACCCTGGGATTTCATAGAATTATTATCATTTCTATACATCCCTTAAGATTAAGAAGCCCTGCAATGGGCAATGATCATAATTTGTTAATATTAGTTGTTTTCCCAAAGAGAAGAAAAATCATTAAATTTGTGGCTACTTCTAAAACTACTAAAGGCTCATCAGTACAATTTGACAAAGTTTACTGAGACTATTCCTATTCTTAATGCATTTATGAACTAGGGAGGAAGCTCATATAAACAGTAAAGGAACAGTGATATGCATGGATGCATGAAGGAAGGCTTGACTCATTGCATCTGGGGGATTGAGGAAGGACTTAGGAAGAAACTGGAATCTCGGCTGCACACTGAAGAGTAAAGACTTTTTGAAGAGGGTAGAGAGAAAGCTAACTGAGAGTTGACTAGACATTGCTGCCCCAGATATTCAAGAGAATTTTCACATTCCTTGTGGTAGGGATCAGGACGAGAGTAATTTTCACATTCTTGGATTGATCCAAGAATGAGATACCAAACTGAAGTGTATCAATGTCTTCATCAAACCACATGAGATGTTTCCTCATTTACATCTCCTGATGATTGGGCTTCTCAGAACCAAAGTACTAGGAGTCTCCCTTAAAGAGTTTTTATCCCATGTCTGCTATGGAACAGCCTCATCAATCCCACTCCAGAAGTAGGAATTGTGGATAGCAGTACATGCTACTCAGCTACCTAATTAAAAAGAGCCTGCCTCAATTAATTGGTGGGTAGAGACTGGGGAACTGGGGAATATTTAACCAGGGTCTGGGAAGCACACACATGCGCTAATAAACCAAAATTACTTCCTAGTGTTGCTTTGCTTTTCTTGATTATTCTTAAAGAAAAATCAACAGATTCAAACTGTTCAAATAGTGTAAAATAACAAAATTTTGTCATTCAGCAATGTCCAAACATCCTTGATTTGCAGAACTCTTAGTGTCCCAGTAATTTTTCCATGACGCTCAATAGGCCAAAAGCAATACAACTTAATAACAACCGAAAATACCGTAATAAGTTATATCTTAAGAATTTAGTAGCCTTTTGGGGAAAAAAATACAATACACGTAAGTTAAAAGAAAAAAAATAGCATTTTGATTTCATTTCTAAATTAGCACAATTACCAAATCACTAGGAGTCTAAGTGGATTTGTAGTACTAGAACTTCTCAATCCTTGGAACCAAATTGGATGCTGCCACCCTCAATTTCCAAATTCATACTGATTTTCATGCACTATTCATTTGTATCACAGCAATCAGTGAAAACTCAGCCTCACAAAGATGTGACATCAAAAGAAATGTAGTGTAATCTAATGTTGAAATATGAGCTACCTCAAGCTAGTAGTTCACACCATGTCTGATAAATGCTCCGTTTTGCTGTGTTTTCCTCATAAATTTAAAATCTAGTGGATGTAATCCCAAAGACATCGCTGATACACAGCCAATCACAGTTGCATTTCTAAACAGCCATGAATATATCAGAGTTTTAGATATCAATGTCAATTTTCCATGAGCTTGTTTTTCATTTCAGTGATGAAAAACTGCTTGAGACTCATTTTGTTGTTGTTGTTTTGGTTCCTGAAACTACAGCTTCAATTTATTTCTCAAATCTCCAAATATCTCTCTATCAAGCACTATTGATTTGCTATATATTTAAAAGCACAGAAGGAGAAGTTAAATGGGTTTTTCGTGTGAACACTCACTCCTAGTAAATATATTCTGTGAAGATACGATTTTTATGGAGAATTTTCTTCAAATGGAGTATTATGCCCTCTCTCTCCAAGTTTTCTCTTACCAGACCCTTTATTCAAAAACTTCTCTTTAACACCTTTTTAACATAACCATATTGATACATGACAAAAAGTAACAATAAAACATGTAGTTGGAACAGCAGATAGGACAAAGCAAGAAGCTGCAGAGAAATTGAAGAAATGGAAGTAAAGAACAGAGACACCTTTAGCTGCTGATTATCACATCATAAGTTGAAAGGATCCAAAGACATTGTGATAAAAAGCAATTTATAAAAGTTTTATTCACAACTGTAAAATTTCTGAGATTATGTAAACATATATGTACACATATGTGTGTGTTTCTATTTACATGCATTTTCTTGGGGAAACTAACAAGAGAAAATCTAAGACCATTCAAGAGGTAATATGTTTCAGCTCACTACATTAGGTAGGATATAAATTATTATCCTTATTTTACAGATGAAGTTAGGTACTTTGCAAGATGATTCCATCAGTAAATGGTTAACGAACCACCTACAATAGGCCTGAAACTACTTAGAAGTTTAATCCCTTTAACAACAGACAGGCTATGATCTGTAACCTCGTAGCCTAACCAAGGCAAATAATGGCTACATACCACATTTCAAACTAAGAAATCATACCATATGTCCATAATGTCAAGTGTAGATATGTGGCCATGCTCCACGAAGGGCCACTGAAGAATCCTGAGAGTTATTGTTCCCATTCTTTCATTTTAGCAGAATAAGAGGGTATTTCCTCCTAATTGCTCTGTACTGTACCTTCC